AAAAACACATTATTTTATAATTACATAAATAACATAAAAATATAAATTTAATTTTAATATTTTTATTTTTATACGTGTTAATCTATATTTTTTGGTACATCATTGCCCTCTGGCCGATCGCGTCTCTGTGGCACAGAATACCTAAGTATACTGTGTCTGTGGCGCATTATGATGAGTGAGCCTAACACGAGTGAGACGATTTGGTGAATGCATAAAGTTAAAAAGAGAAAACAACACGCCAACATATCCTTCAAACGTCAAAGGAACACATTAATTGGCGCGCCGCTCACAAACAAGGTTGCCAAACCAGTGTTGCCAGTCTAGTACAATTCACAATTGTACTAGATGTAGTACATTCTGCTTGAGGCAGTGTTCACGTGTAAAATATATTGTGTTCCTTGTTTGGGTTCGTTAGCTATAAAAATCCCCTTTTTTCTCTTCAATAAATTAGATGTCACTCAAATAGAATTCGAAAAATTTGGTACATTTAAGGAATCTGATACATTTTTTAGACAAATCTGGTACATAACAAAAACATATTCTGGCAACACTACCAAATCAAACAAACTGTCATTCCGTCTACCTGGGGTTCGGTTATCATTGCGTTCGGTCTGCCAAGTTCCTTTAACTCCTTTAACACTTTTAACTCCGAACGACCCTTTTACCGTTAGGTTTAGTCCGATTAGTGACAGTTTAACACGCTTAAATGTCATTTAAAAGCACCCTAAAATTTGTCCCGCTCCAGCCCCTGACTGACCGAACTCGCCTGATATATCGCGAATTTAGAGATGAGTAGTAATAACGTAAATGTACCTACTTAACACTTGCAGATTTGACAATATCCATCTCTAAATCCCAGTGTGACACCGGAATCACTTGGAACTTTAGAGACGTTGTAACCGAACTTTGATTTTAGTTCAAGGACGACTTACCCAACTCCGACTCAGCTGAGTTCTGTTTATAAATATGGACCTGAATATATTTGTATCCTTGTTTATCGATATATAAAAGAAGAAAGTGAGAATACACTCAGTGAGACACGAGATCTCTTTACAAATTATACTTTTTATGGATTTGTGTGTTCCGTGAACCGAATTTTCGTTGTTTTGAGGTTGGCTGTACTGATCTTAGATTCTGTGTGAATTTACTAGTGTTTATGTACGATGGAATCGTATTCGGTGAAATTTATAAAAACAAATAAACATAATTTTGAGAATCGAGTGCTTATAAAAAAGAATGGCCCACCTCGATCGGAGATAAACATTGTTCAAGAATGTGCCATAAGAAATAGAAAGTTTAAACATACTTTTAAGATTGAACAATATAAAAAAACTTCGTGGTTGTGCGGGTGTGATAAACAACATGCTTTGTTTTGTTTTCCTTGTTTAGTTTTTGCAAACAATGAAAATACTAAATTAGAAAGGACAAAAACGGGTGTTAGAAATTAAAATTAAAAATGAAAAGCTATATCAACATGAAATTTTTATGTAAAAATCAAGCCCTATAAGGAGATGAGGCCTATTGATTGTGAAAACAATCTGGTAGAAAATGGGTAGTTAAGGGAGTCTGTTAAACTGCGAAGAGTATCATTTAGAATGCCACGCATTATATATCTTTATTCTAGTTTTTATTTGTGTAATAGTATGTATTGTGATGGGACTGATCTCATAAAATAAATATTTAAAACATTTTAGTTCTTATTTTATTTAAAAGTTATTATTTTAAAAGGTATTTAAAAAAAAAAATTATTTGACATCTGTGACAAATTGTGAAAATGATTAAATTTACAATTAAAACTGAAAAATGGTAGGTTCATATAATATTTTTTACACAAAAATCAATGTCAAGCTTTCTACATAACCTTATATATATTTAAAAATAATCTCAAATTATGAACAAAAGTCAGTTTATTAACTAATAATGTTTATAGGTGGTTTTCAATGTATTAAAAACAAAACAAATATCACACTAACTAAAATATTTATTTATTAATAGTTATAATGCTTGAAAATAGTATGATGTTGATAATAACTACATTTAATACAAACTCAAATAATAAAAAAACAGCGATATTGGCTCTTGTACAAAGTTTTGGACCGAACTTACAAAAATGATAAAAGTATTGGAAAAAGTGAACACCCATTTCAAATTACCACGAGCCGCCACTGATTAAAAATGCTAGCGCTTTAAATCTCTTGCAACAGATTTATACGCATGATTTGCAGGATGCCTTTCCCAATATTTGTATTGCTCTAAGAATTTACTGTACGCTTCCTACTACATCCGCAAGCTGCGAGCAAACTTAAACTTATCAAAAATTATCTACGATCTTCGATGAGCCAGGAACGTTTATCAAGTCTTGCCATATTAGCAATAGAAAATCAAATTGCTCATCAAATTAATTATGATAAGGCCATAGATTTGTTTGCAGAACAAAAGGCTTGAAGAGTAAAATTATAATTTCAATGTGTAATATACTAATAATAATAATATTAATAATAATAATTTTAACCTCATGTTTTATTCAGACCCTATCCTGTCCTAACCTAATTAAAATATATGTCCGAGTCCGACACATCCTTGTATTTTTCGAAAAAATATTGGCTTAACAGAGAAAGAGCAGCGGTATACCGGTAGTTGTGGGGTTCTTTGGGGGAGGTCTATGTCCATCCGTGGCGTCATTCTTCAGTTTTTGCCCCGCTACAAAAACTTCTTGTTTTTTCTAAAATATGCCATTTTAATTTAAAAATTTGAACTTTTTAAATGCTTTTTATGTTTTCGTGGATAGTATTATAGATTTTAGGAGCCATTATAAATGAATGATTTCCGACACCAAATCATTTTAAGTGGTAAATAATGATGTTTATGTCTTATGCAGTAATCGTGTGTTGGTAAGTTACTATATAATCTATTGTTAGTATGGTATTTTGTAGAAGCGCACATAATAGTAAATTTGTTTTGTATAAAAGATTTTAATTCCTTTACAAAAGTGGTTTGTATAAAATGATTTTAAGAAAGCATTTATCGATTATCTCTAGTGGATGTATTAAAGCACCTGCTCAAGTTTATTGCATATCTAATGTGGCTTTTTACTAGCTTAAACTAGAAAGGTCTCTTTTGCGATAAACTTTGAACTTTGAGATATTTTGAGATACAGCCCTTAATCAGTCACCCTGCATATATTAATCAAGTTTGTTTTAATTTACTTTGGTAGCCATTTATGACACATATTATGCAATAAACATCTGTTGCGATCCTAAAAAAAAACTTTAATTCGACAGTTTGAATTTTATTACTGCCATTTTTGTATCCCAAATTTGGATATAATTCGCAAAACGAAAATTACGCCGTAAGGAGTGTCTTTATTATATATCTTTATGAAAGTGAATAAAATAAATAACAGACTAAAAACACATAACAACCTCAAAGTTCGGTATCATCACTTCAATTTTGCAACGAATATAAAAAATTCAAATGAACATGTTATCCTTGCCATCAGTCGTCTTCATTTCTCGAATTCTTTGCAGTAATTTAATTTACTTTGAATGCCGCGAAAGGAGATTTTTTCCTATTTGGTAAACTAGGAGCGACAAGAGGAGTATTTGTATAGTTGTTAATTCTGGCACTTCGAGGAATTCGTTTGGTTGCTCTGTAAGGCGCCTATAAGAATACTTGGAGTAGCAAAAAAAACGTATTTATAGTTGTGTCATACAATATTGCCGTAAAAAATAATGAGGGAAAGTTATTATCTTTTATAAGTAGGTACATTCCTACGAATATGATTTTTACAGCATTAGCCCCAGTAATTTTCGACAAAGATGTATAGTTGTTTGTTTGAAGAACTTAACAAAAATGGTGTAGAAAATGAGTTGCTTGTCGGAAGTCAGCTAAACTAGCAAAAAAAACATCATTTTAATTAAACTTTAATGTAAAAAATGTAGTGTTAATAGTATAACTAGACAAAAAGTTTTAAATATGAGATTAATGATAACCACAACATAGGTATACCAGTAGAATCACTCAACCGGCGGAACTTTGATCTACTCGTAATTGGGCAAGCTCAAAAATTTTTAAATTTTTTTATAAATAATACCGTTCAAAATAAAGCTACATTAAATTTTTTTTATCTACTCGTTTGCCTGAGTTATTATTTTTTTTAAATTTATGACGTAGCCGGGAATAGACCAATAGGAACTAGTCTCACAACGTTGCCAGTTAGACGGTATACGAGAAGTAATAGGCATCCAGTCAATTCGTCGCGCGACAATTTATCGCGCGACCTTTCAGAGCCGACAATTCATCGCCACGACTTTTCATCGCTACGACAGTTTATCGCTACGACAATTCATCGCCACAAAAATATCGTATTGTATCTATGATTTATACAGTATGTCTGAGAAACAAACAATTTTTTTGTGCTATATTGAATTTTTCTTATAAGTACCAAATAAAATTATTTTTTCGAAAAAATTACAAAATATCTTACTTTAAATTACAGAAAAATATGATTTACTTTTTTTCTGCTAATCAAGTAGTTTTTACTAAGAAAAATATAATAAATATCAATAATGTACTATTGATAAGCCAATTTAAAGTGTATAAGCGGCAGTCGCAGGTTCTCAACAGTCCTTTCCCTACTATTTAAAAAGGATTATCTTCATTAGCTAATTCGGGTAAGTTACCACATTAGTTAATAATAATAATAGAGAATTATAATTATCCCTTAATAATCCTTTCAAGGAGAAATTCATAGTGCAATCAATATTTAATTCTAAAAAGGATTATCTTCAATAGCTTGTTTGTGTAAGTTAGTATTTTAGATGCCCTGTTTATAATATATGTATATAAGGTTTAAATAAGAAATACCAACGAACTGTAATCATTCTTATTTTGTCTTTGTGCGAGTTTACATCATTTTAAAATTTGAAAATGCCGTTACAATTTGTTGACAGCGAAAGAGGTCACAAAATGCTTTTATACAATGGCCATACACATTCTAGAGAAAAAATTTCTGGAGAAAAAGGTATTTGGAAATGTTCTCTATATCATAAATGGAGATTTACCGGTCGCATTCATACCATAGGCGATGAAATTGTGAAGAGTACCGAACATAATCATGTGTCAGATAGTGCTGATGCCGAAGTAAGAAGAGCTGTTAAAAAAATTAAAGTTTTAGCTGAACAAAGTGGTTCCACTAATCAACAAATCATTGCAAAGGTTTCCGAGGGTTTATCATCATCGGTTGCAGCCAGATTACCACAAGTGAGTGCAATGAAAAGAACTATTCAACGAAAAAAGGAAAAGACAGAAGGAATTCCTGCGATTCCAAATTCTCTGCTTCAATTAGTTATTACACAGGAATATACACTGACAAGCAGTGGTCAGTTATTTTTAATGTACGACAGCGGCCCATCAGAACTTGCGACTCGCCGTTCAAAGCAACGCTATCGCATCGCCACGCTCGCCGCTCCTACTCTGAACAAGGCTTTAGTATTTATATCGAAAACACGATGAAATCTGCTAGACGTGGTCATAGTTCTTTTAATAAGGGAAACTACACTTTTTTCGGATATAAATGCCACAAAACGTTTATATTAAATATTAGTACCTAAGTTCAAAGTTAGAGTTTGGTTCAGTCATATGGATAAGTGTATATCCAACTATTCTTCATGAAATTGAAAATATTCAAAACACATTTCTGAGATATTTATATCATAAGAAGTATCACACTGGGCTTGATTTCAAAACCGTAAGATCTAGGAATTTAAAAACTGAATTCAAAATAATATCGGAAGGTATATTATAAACACTAAAAGTTTTTTTACCTAAATATAAACATAAATAAATAAAGCCTATTATTATATGTTCTGAGATATATTCTGTCATTGTAAATCGCCAATATTTTGATCACCAGCCGCCATTGTTATTATATTAAATAATAAATACACATTACGACGAGACTGGCTCGTTCTATTTTTTACTGCTTTTTTCCTGCTGCAGTCGACCCTTTTTAAATTCACTTGCAGCCTATATAGAATAAGAATACTTTATTAACTACTTTATGAAAAACATGTGTAGCAAGTCTAATACAATTTAGAAATTCTAAATAAATAAATAAATAATAAAGGTAACATACGATATAAATGTATATAACAGAAAAATTTTAGACAAACAGAATAATACATTGATCTGAATTTAATTTTTAAAACGCAGATCAGTCTAGTAATGCCATGGACTATTCAAATACTCATTGATATCGTAAAAACAGTGCAAATGTCAATAACTTTTAACATTTCGTTTAAAAGCTAAAACATTTTCATTTTTTAAGTTTACTGGAATTTTATTATACAGTTGAACATCTAATGAGTTCTTTTTCGATAATTCCAATCGAAAACGTGTCGTTCTAATTAAATCACCACTCCTGGTGGGATAGTTGTGGTAATCAGAATTAAAGAGTATAGTTTGTGGATTTCCAAGACAGTGTGTATAATGGGCAATGGTAAAATATTTAGAGTCTGAAATAATGGTCGACAAGAGTCTCTAAAGTGGCTTCCAGTTAGGATTCGTATGACTCTTTTGAAGACGAAAGATTCGTATGGCATTCGATGCGTTTCCTCATAGTATTATACCATAAGTAAGATAACTGTGAAATAGGGAGTGATAAGCCATCAAAACAGTGTCCACGTTTATACTTTTTTTTTAAATTTCTAAGTAGGAATATTTGAGAACTTAGTTTTTTTGCTAACTTTTCAATGTGGGTGTCCCAATTTAGACCGCTGTTGAGTGTTATTCCCAGAAGAGTGGCACAACTTGCGTTACCATGTTTCAGGTTAGTACTAAATATTAAAGATTTGGTTTTTTCCTTATTAAGATTTAATTTGCTTGTAGTAAACCATTCCCCAACCTTAGCGACTGCCATTTTACTGATATTTTCAAGAGTGTCGATATCTCTGTGAGAATTCAAAAGTGTAGTATCGTCTGCAAAGAGGAAGCAGGCATTAGGTTGAAGACAGTGAAATATGTTATTCACGTAAGTGATAAAAAGTAGTGGACCTAACACAGATCCTTGCAGAACTCCGTGCTGAACAGTAAGGGAATTTGATAAATGGCCATTTAAATAGCTTGTTTCCTGTTTGAAAGATACGACTTAAAAATATTGAGTGGTGTTCCTCTTATTCCATAAAAATCAAGTTTGGATGTTAGCAGACCGTGAGAAACACAGTCAAATGCTTTTTAGAGATCGCACATTGTTATCAGGGTTGATTTACCCCCCTCCAAACCATCTACTATTCCTTCCACGATGCTTCTTATAGCATTAACAGTACTACAGCCCTTTCTAAAGCCATATTCACATTTGTGGATAATATTCATTTTGTCAAGAAACATGTTTAGGCGTTTTTTTAAAATAATTTCAAAAATCTTTCCAAATATTGGAATTATCGAGATAGGACGGTAATTTCCTGGTTGATTTACATAATTGTTTTTGTAAATTGGTATTACTTTACTTACTTTGAAACTGTCCGGAAACTGACCATCACAAATCGATTTATTAAATAAACTTGTCAGCTGCTGACAAAACAAACTATACGTTTCTTTGATAATTTGGGAATTTAAACCGTAGATATCATAACATGAAGAGCTTTTCAATGTTTTGATGGCTTTTTCAACTTCAAAAGATACAATTGGCTCAATAAAGAAGGAATCACGGGGTTTAAGACTTTTGTCCAAAAAGTCCTTGACCTGATGTTCGGTGTCTGGCAAGGAACATATAATTAATTCTGCAATACTGGAAAAATAATTATTGAACACTTCTGGGGTAATATCACATGAGAAACTTTTATTATTGGTGGCATTTCGTTCAAAATTTATTAATCTTTCAACTTATTTGATGAATTTTTTAAAAATGAATCGTAGGCTGATCTTTTGGCATCTTCAATTGACCTATAATAATATTTTTTGAAGCAGTTGTATGCAATTCGGTCAGATTCATTCTTAGTGCAATCATCAGCTCGTCTATATCGGTTCATCTCATCGAAGTAGAAGAAGATAATGAATAATTTCCCTACTGTATATTCCGATAGTTATATCATAATATTTTTAATACTCTATTCGCAGCAATTTTACAGCATCTTCAAATGAAATCTGTATTTTTTTCGTCCATTTGCGGTGTAACTTTATAGTTGACTTATCGTTTAATATAATTCCTCGTGTACTCCTATTCTTTCTGATAGCAACATATATTCGGCATTGGAATCCTGAAAAGAAAATTGTTGTTGTCCTTGTTCTATATAAATTTCAAAACTGTACATGTACTTGTATCCGTCAGAAGTACAGATAGCAAAAATTTTTATACCAAAATAAGAACGCTCTTGTCAGAAATGTAACCGTACTTCACCAGTATAACTGATTTGTCCACTAGGATATTTTTTGTTGGAAATTGACTAAGAATGGTTTTATCTATCATTGGTACTAGCTGGAGGTACTAGAACATTTGGATTAGCGTATCTAAGAAATGTTAGGAAAGCTGTAAATCGATTTCAGCTAAGTCTCTTATCCCGATCCAAATGGGTGTTGATATTAGGAGTAATCCAATATATTGACAGTTGTGACTTCGTATTGTTTCATATTCACTAAATAACAAAAAAAAAATTATCTCTTGTTGCATTACGTCATTATAGCCCATGTATTTTTCTTACAACCTTAGGCAATTTTAACATTTCTTTGATAATGATAATTGCAAATACAAATTCAATAAATTTTGATTCGTTTTCATATAAATACCTAGATATGAGTAATTTTCTCTCGTTAATTTAAGACACGCCTATATAAATATACAACAATAATAATAACAATGGTAAATAAATTTGCAATCGGATTCGTATTTGCCTTCGTAAATAATACTATTCTTTCTGTATAGAACAATTACCTAAGAGAAAAGATAGCAACTCATATTACTCAAGTTATTGCCCAATGAGAGATAAAAAGAATTAATGTCATGAGGTGAATTTTAAAACACTTTTATAATAATTTTAATTCCTTCAATGTTTATTCTTAAAGGCAGTTTCTATCAATATCTCTAAACGTTTAATCTGGATATTTTAAAATATTTTTAATTCAGTAATTTGTCGCTATGTCGCTAGATATATCATTTATGAAACATAATTGTGTTTTTCATAATAAAATCTATATTATTTTAAACATAGCTTTCAGGAAAACTGAACATTATTTTTAAGTGTTGATGTATTTCAATTTTTTTCCTGTGTTAGTTGTATACGGGTTGTAATGGAAAGAAAGTGTAAATGAAGAAGCACTGATGTCAGGCCCAGTATTGCCAGAATATATTTTTTTTATGTACCAGATTTGTCTAAAAAATGTACCAGATTACATAAAAATGTACTATGGATTCTGTAAAATGTACCAGATTTTCGAATGAATTCTGAACGAAAACAAAACAAAGAGCAAGATCCCACAATATATTTTAAACGCGTCAAATGATAACACACTGAAAAAGAAAAAGGTACAAGATATTGCTTCGAGTGTACCAGATTCTTAGAAAATGTACTAGATCTAGTACAATTCTACTAGATTGGCAACACTGGTCGCTAATTAAATAATACAACTAAAGCACACAAATACGCATTTTATTACCAAGATATAAACAATTTTTTGAACAAAAAATAAAGCTACCTAATCTTAAATAAAAACACTAAATAAAAGTAGCTGTCTTTTTGGAAAATTCAGAAATAAGATCATAGTTATATTATTCAAGAAATCACTTTTTATCGATATGATTGCCAAATTATCGAGCCGCTGTTAGCCCATTTTTAATCCGATTTTTTGCAGAATCAATAGAACCTATAGAAAGATAGGATCTTGGACACCAATGCTTTTTAAATGAAAAACGTGTAGTTCACTCTGGATAATAGAATGCTAGTGTGGACAATTAAGTAAAGATAGCACAAATATTGTTAATAATTTAAATGGGGAAAGTTATTTGTAATGGGGTAAAGTCAACATTGGACAGTGGGTTAAGAGGGCATACGAGAAGTCCGCCTTGTTTAATCGTTTAATATCTCCTTATTAAATCGTTTTTGAACTTCTCGTATGCCCTCCTAACCCACTGTCCAATGTTGACTTTACCCCATTACAAATAACTTTCCCCCATTTAAATTATTAACAATATTTGTCATATCTTTACTTAAATGTCCACACCAGCACCTGTATCTTTAAGTTTGTCTACCTAAGATCCTTTTGGGCATTTTGCTA